TTTTTAGTTCCTCAAGGTACCAAACAGCTGGAAAGTGAGTGCTGGGGCCTGCGGAAGCATACCTGAAGGGTAGACAGTCCTTCTTATCCCACCTGAGATGGCTACTTGTCTGTCTGCTGAGTTCTGCTGTAGCAGCCTGGTGTGGCAGGGACTTCTACTCTTCTGTTGAGCTATTGCCACCATAGCCAGGCCAGGCAGACTTCAGCTGGTAGGGGTCCTAGAGCTGCTTCAATTGAGGGCTTTGTTCTCCCCACTTACACTGTTGACATCTATTTTCCAAAGTGTGTTTAGATTGCTCATTGCTAAGAATCATTGTCTTTTCCTGTGTTAATGTTTGTTTAAGTGAGGAAAGCACAGTGTAAGCTGGTAAAGGCTCCTCACTGTGCACCAGAGCAAATGGCCTATCCCCAGCCTCTGCTGATAGCATGTTGCAATGTCCATGTGTTTCAGGGTCCTTGAGCTAGCATAAGACAGGTTAATGAAGAATATTTCTTAGTAGTTCCTTTTTGTTTTCCTTTTCAATTTACAAAAGTAAAGCATTTATTAATGTCTGACTTAAGAATGTAAAATGATTCTGTATCAATGTAAATAAGATTATCTACTGCAAAAGATATTTAAAACCTTAATTGTGGTCATTTCTTTTTTGAAAAAATTCAAAAGTTCACCTTCTGCAGGTGGCTCTGCAGAGGGTGGCTGGAGAGTCAGCTGCCTTTACCCTCAAGGTCATGCCTACTCCCCCACCCCCTAGCTTGCTGAATCCAGGGCACTGACCCACACTGCATGCTCAGAGCAGGCAGGCAGTAAATATTTTATTGAACAAAACATTGGGGGAGTATTCCAAGTTTGCAGAATGTCACTGTTGAGCCTTTTTTATCCATCAGCTCTTTCCCAATCTTTTCTCCACCCAGTCCAGTGAACACTCTCTCACCTCTCCCTGCTCAGTCCAGAACACCAGGCAGGGTATGTGTAAGCCAGGCATCAGAGCTCTGCTTGGAGCCCAGACTAGTTAAGCTAAAATTTTAATGTAAAAAATGCAAAGACTCTGAAAATAATTCAGGAAGAAAAAAATATCAATAGAGGGCATAGTATGTGTAGATCCTAGTGAGCCCATGCTCATCTTATAGCAGGGAGGAGGATCAAAAGAAAACAGACGAGGCCTGAGTTCTGATAAAGTAGCAGGGAGGTAGGGATGGAAAACCAGGGAGATAAAACCTGAGGAATCTGAATGTGGAGAGGGTCACATAACACTTGGGAGGGGGAAAGTTACATAACACTAGGGTAAAGTAGCCTATAGAATTGAATATAACCATATATGGATTAGATCTTGCTTTTTGCTTCTGTAACCTGCTTGCAAGGTGAGACCCCTTCGTTCTCAGGGCTCAGTCTTTGGATACGAGTCTGCTGGGTCTGTGCCAGCACAATAAAATGTTGCTTCCTGCTAAACTGCCTCAGTGTCCCATATCTGAGGTAGATATTCCTGCAACAATCTCTTAGCACAGGCTCCCAAAGAAAGTCAGAGGTTCAGAGCATTTGCTCTCATCAGCATGCTGTCTTGACAGTGAGCACCCTGCTCTGGGAATGGCCACTAAACAGTGGGACTGAAACAGTGGAGCTGGACAGTCTCTTGGGAAAGAATAGATCTCTTCCTGGAGAAGCCAACCAAGTGTCATTCCTGTCCTGTCCTTGGAAAGCAGAAGTCTAGGAAGATTTTGTAAGAGGAAGGTGGGTTTTCTGGTTAGAGAGATACCATAACTGCTATGTGGAGGCCACCTTCTCTCAGGTCATGGAAGTTGGCCATGCAGCATCTGCAGAATTAAGTGCTGCTTTCAGGCTTGGGTTTCGTTTACCTCCACATGTAACTCCTAAGGCATTTGTTTCTAGACTTCTTTGCAACCTCTGAGTGGGGGCTGGGGTATGAAATAATGTGTTTAAAATACAACAAAAGTGTCATTAGGCCCCTGAGCTTCTGGGGATTGTAAATAGGAGAAGGTAGATTTCAGTGCTTGCTGAAGTGTTAGAAGGATGGGCCAGGATCTGTGTAGTCATGGAGTGAACAAAGTGTAGACTCTTGGGAGCCTGCCATCATGAGCTCTAGCCCCCTCAGGCCTCTGCCATTTCTATCTCCAACTTGAGCCACCCTTTTCCCAGTCAGCCCTCTGGGTTCTGGTACACTGGCCTTTCCATCTTTCCCCGTCATCAAAACCCCTCAAGAGACAAAAATCCTCGCCATCTAGCATGGTGGTGTATACTTGTAATCCCAGGCTGAGGCAGAGGATCATAGTTTGAGGCCAGCTTGGGCTACATTTTGAAACCCTGTCTTTAAAAAAAAAGCCTAGTGCCATTGCTCATCCCTGCAATCCTAGCTACATAGGAGGCAAAGATCAGGAGGTTGTGGTTTGAAATCAGCCTAGGCAAATTGTTCTTGAGACCTTATCCTGAAAATAATCAACACAAAAAATGGCTGGCAGAGTGACTCAAGTGGTAGAGCGCCTTCCTAGCAAGTGTGAAGTCCTGAGTTCATACTCCAGTACCACAAAAGAAAAAAAAGAATCCAGTCCCACAAGCCCTCCAGCTGCCCTTGTGCTGGAACTGCCCTAGCCTTCACTGACCTGCAGTATCGGAGCCAGCACCGAAGGCAGATCACAGCAGCTCTAATGGCTTGCAGAGGCATGTTTAAGCACTCTTGCTTGTTAATAAACACGATTAAATCTGTGCTTTGTATCTTCTAGATACAAAGCTAGACTTCTTGGTTTTAAAGGGTCATAAGTGGGCTAGTCAGGAATTTTACATAAAAAATGTGCATTTACTTATGCACAGTTCATGGCTGAGGACATGGCCTACATCCTCTGTGTCCATAGTGAAGAATGGTACAAACTGGCTGCCCCGTGGGGACACAGCCGTTCTTCCTCCAGCCAAGGGGCTTCTGGGGAGTCCAGACCCATTGCTGGCAAATCAGACTTTCCAGCAGCCAGGCACTGGGTTTTTACATGGGCTTTTAGTTACCTCATCTCCTTGGTAACAGCATTGTTATAATATTCACGTACTGTACAGTTCACCCATTTAACTATATAATCCAAAGGCTTTTAGTTCACAGTTGGGCAAACATCACAATCAATTTTAGAACTCTACAAAGAACGCTTCTGTGAGCATCCACTCCTCATTCCCGCCTCACCCCCACCCCCACCCCCACCAGCCCACCAGACTCTGGCAGCTGCTCATCTAGTAGATATTCCATACAAATGCAGTCATACACGTGACTTTTCATATGACTTCTTTCACTCATTTTGTTTTTCCAGGTGCACCCACAATGCAGCCTGTATCAGAATTTTTTTGTCATTCATTTTTATGGCTGAATATCCATTGTATGGATACCTGTTTTTTAACCCATTCATCCAGTGATGGACATTCAGGTTGTTTCTACTTTGTGCTAGTATGGCTCATTTAAAATGCTGAATGTCACGTCTGAGACAAATTCATAGAAATGGAAAGTAGATGGGGCTGGGGATATAGCTAAGTGGTAGATTGACCATGGGTTCAATCCCCAGTGCTGCAAAAAATTTAAAAATAAATATAATAAAGTAGAATGGTAATCACCAGGGAGTAGGGGAGAGAGAACAAAGAGTTGTCTAGTGGGTGCAGTTTCACTTTTACAAGATCAGTTCTGGAAATGGTAGTGACGGTTACAACAATGTACACTTCATGTACTGAGCTGTGCACTTTTTTTTACAAAAGGGTGGAATGATACATTTTATCCTGCATATTTTATTTTACCACAATTTACTAGTAAATGTTGGCAGTTAACCAAATTTCAGACCAGGTAGGTATGGCCCTCCAGACTTGTGCTAGGATCTCCTTAATTAACAGCACCTTGTGGGGCTGGCTGTCCCTTTCTCATGGTGCTTGCCTTGTTTCCCACACCCTGCCTGGTGCCACCACAGAGGCTTTCTTGCTGTCATTTTGTGTGGTCAGTGCAGTAACACTGAGTCCAAGGTTACCAATGGCCAGCACAGGGCACTTTGATGTCACCACCCAGGAAAGGCCTGTCCCTTGTCACATTTAGTTATGGCCAGGAGACAGGAAAAGGAAGCAGGTGGACATGAATGTCTATTTTAGGTCAAATGGTTTGAAATGCAAGGCATGTTTTTTGGTGTTGCAGTGTGGTTAATTTGTGGCCCATTGAATAGCACAAGAGAACTCTGTCTGGTAGTCTCACTGCATTTGGGACTTAGACTGTTCCCACCATGGTCTGAGATGGGGGGTGGTCTGTAGGTGTCACCCTTTAGGAGGGATGCAAACTAAACTGAAGACTAGCAGAGCTCAGCCTTGTGTGGCTGGCAGGAAGAAAGTAATTTTCAGCATGTTAGACGCTGCTTTGCACTGTGTCCTCACAACACCTGCCAGGTGGGCAAAAATGAGCAAACACAACAGGGTCCCTGGGCCTGCTCTTGTGGGTGAAGAGCCTGCTGGGGCCCAGTGTCTGCTCTTCGAGGGCCTCTTCCCAGGTTTGAGTGGTGATGATCCTGGGCCAGGTCTAGGATGTCATAACAATGGAACTGTGAGATGAGTATCACATAGGGTCTTCCTGACCTAGATGGGCTCAGAAGCCCATGCTTGTCAACATCTTTCCCTTCTACCCTGCCTGGAAGGCTCCTGCCCCTCCCCATAGACCTCAGCGTTAAGGGCCACCTTCTGAGGCTCATCCATGTCCCCTTCTGAACTTTTTTTTTCGGTTTTGGGGACAGAGCTCAGGGTCTCATGCATCTGTGCTCTACCCAAGTAGTACCTTGTCTCCCACCCTACTTGCTACTTATCCCAAGAATTCTTCCATTCTTTGCAGCACTGATGTCAATTTTTTTGGGGGGACTCCTACTCAGTGCCTATACCTTGAGCCATTCCACCAGCCCTTTTTTGTGATGGGTTTTTATAGTCTCATGAACTATTTGTCCGGGCTGGCTTTAAACCAGCCTGATCTCTGCCTCCCGAGTAGCCAGGATTACAGGTGTGAGCCACTGGCACCGGGGTGATGCTGTTATTCTTACTAAGTAAACTCAAGGCAAAGGGTAGAACTTTTTTGTTGGCACCGTATTTCGGGCCCCCTGGCAAGTTGTCTAGGAAGTGAGTCCCTCAGTTAGTAGATCAATGGATGGAATGAATTTAGCAGAACTGCCACTCCTTTTACCCCTTTCGTGTCTGAGGGGTCAGAGGCCAGGTGGCATGTTATAAAGACAGTGTGATAGTGATTATACAAACCTATACACAGGTTAAAATTCACAGACCTGCCATGGAGTCTCGGTGGGTAACTTGTGTTCTCTAAAGGAGAGTTTTCAGGCAGAGTTGAAAAGTTGGTCCATCACAATATCCTTTGCTGTAGGCAGCATTGTCTTGCCTCCACAGTATCCTGTGGTCCTCTGCCATGTCTTGTATTTGTTCCTTTTTTTCAATCTGTTCTGAAGTTTTCCTATATCCCAAGCTGTACATGGAGAAGTAAGGAGAAGGAAGAAGGGTTTGGTTCTCTCTCTCCCCACACCCCAGTTCCTAATTCAGAATGAATACACAGGTTGCTTCAGTGGCTGTGATGAAGGGGGTGTGTGCAGGGTGTGAGGTCTCTGTCCTGTGTCGTGTTCCCCATCTGTGGATGAAGTACAGTGGGAACAGCAGGTGCTTATTGAGGTATCCCTCCAGGTTGAGGGTAGGAACACTCCACTATACAAGTAAAACATATTCGTCTTCACAGTTACCAAATAATCCCTTCAGCCTGCTGCTACCCAGCCATTTCATGTCTCCTGCTAGAATTTTCATGCTGTTGGTGCCCAGCAGCTGCCACCCCAACCCACATCCCAGAAATAGAGCCCTTTTCTTTTGGAAGACACCTGTGAGAACAATGGCTTTATTTGAAAAGAAAAAAAGTTGTACACAAGGAAGGATAAGTGTGCCTCTGAGCCTCCTGTCGCCTAGCTTGGGGCTTTAAGTTGGGCAGGTCACAGCTGGGCAAAGTCCCCTTTGTGCTGCTCCAGCCACTGGTCCAGCGTCCTCGCCATGGGGTTGAGTCGCAGTGTCAGCTCGATGTTGCGGTCAGGTTTCAGAGCATAGAAACAGAACATGTTGGCCAGAACACGGGCCCCGGGGAAAACCAAGCTTTTCATAGTCCTCAGGAGTTGTCTGGAAGGAAGCAGAGAGCCCACCACATCTAGTCTCCAGCACCCTAGGCAGGGTATGGGGGAAAGCTGGGTGGGCTCGGGTCTCCCCACTTGCATCCCCCAGAGATGCTGTTGGCTTCTCTGGGTACTGACGGGTTCTCACTAAGAGGTCAGGTGGAAAACTTTCTTCTAGAAAGATGAAAATTTGGTAACATGGTTCTTCCTGAGCTACCTGACTCTAGTTAATTTAGAGATTGTTCTTTATGAGAAGCTTTCAGTCCCTTCCAAAGCAAACATCTGCAATATCACGGTCTTGCTCAGAAACCAATGCTGTTCCCTTCCCCTTCTGAACCAAATCTTAACTCCTTAACTCTTCAAATCCTCCAAAACTCTGGCTTAGGCCCCCATCTTGGTGGGCTCAAAGACTGGAACCAGTATCTGAATCCAGGAACCTGACCCTCTTCCCTCTATGGCTCTGTTTGGGTCTAGATGGAGCCTCCAAGAGTGACTTCCATCTCTTAACTCATTGTTTCCCAGATTTTCTTTAATGAGTAGGTCTTACTTTCATAATAAGAACAACAAATGTTAGGAACAAGGCACCCAGGGGTCTGGACAGGAAGTCCTGAGTGTCAGCTGGGAGAGTAGGCGATAGGCGGGGGCCTCCTGCCCAACCATCCAGGTTAATGGGGAAGGACAGGGTCAGGCCTATCTTTCTAGCCAGGATTCCTCCCTTGCTGTCCCTTCAATGGAGCCCAAGGGTCCCTGCATCTTCAGCCCTCCTTGCCTTGGGTCCTACTTTCCATTCTTCCAGAAATGTTTCTGTTTTCTGTCAAAACTTCTAGCCAGAAATTTCACTTAGAAATGGCCATCCTTAGCGCTTAGGAACAGCATGGTACAAGGGTAAACCATGACGATAAATTTAGATTTGCCTTGTTCAGACGATGAAGGCAGTCCTAGGTAGATACTCCATTCCTACAACCCTTAAAGACCCCTTTGGAGCCAGGCGCCAGTGGCTCACGCCTGTAATCCTAGCTACTCGGGGCACAGATTAGAAGGATGACAGTTTGAAGCCAGCTGGGGCAAGTAGTTTGTGAGACCATGTCTTGAAAAAACCCCTCAGAAAAAAAGGCTGGTGGAGTGGCTCAAGGTGTGGGCCCTTAGTTCAAGCCCCAGTACTGCAAAAAAACAACCAACCAACCCCTCTGGGAGTTAGAAGGTCCTGCCTGGCTGGAACCGAGACCTTATGACCGGGGAGGGAGACGCCCACCTTGGCATGGCACACAGCCTTGCCAGTGTGCCTGGTAAGCAGGGCAGCATACTCCTCTGCTGTGTGCCTGCAGTGCTGAGTCCAATGTTCTGCCCAACACACTCGTCTGGCATCTTCAGCAGCTAAGCACCACGGGACCCAAGTCGCTCACGGCCATACCATCCATAGGTGTACCACCTATAGGCAAGTCTGCAGGGACAGAAAGACATGCTGGCTGGCAGAGACAGCGCCCCTCAGTGGAGGTGGGGATGAGACTGGCTTTCCCAGAAGGCAATCCTTAGACACCTGCACGTATCAGCCGGGTCAGTGTCCACGTATGGTATCTTCCCCACCCAGAGAAAGGGGCCTGTTCAGATCACCTAGGAGTCTCTCACAGATGGAAATAGGATATTCCTGACATTAGTTCTGCAAACGGTAAAGGGCTGTGGAAGCAGCAGTAGCTGGTTCCAGATTCCACTTACCGGGCAGGCAGGACTCCCCTGTCCTTTACAAGGCACTTATGCCCTCATGTGTGGGCAAGGAGTGGCCAGCAGGCACTGTTCCTCTGACTGTCCTCCAGTGCATCCTATGCTAATAAACCAAGCAACTGCCTGGATGCACGTTGGCTGAGGTTCCTTCTAAGCCAGGCCAGTGCAACCAGGCCCTGTGTGCAGACTGACCAGCAGGTCTTGATAAGAGTGAGCGTTCCTACTCTGAAATCTACAGCTGAACCCCATCACCGATTCTCTGCTTCCTGTCTTTGAAGGGGAGTGACTGTGCTCCTCTCCTTAAAGGTGTCCAAAAGGCAAAGCCTCACATCACCACCACTATGGAAGATTTCTCTCATTGCCCCTGCAGACATTCCACAGCATGGGAAACCAAGGCCCAGCAAGGGTATAGGACTTGCCCAGTCTTGGGCCTAATGTGAGAGAGCCAGGGCCTCCACCCAGAACAATCTGGTGACAAGCCTACTTTCTGCTACACCTGTGGCTTCACGTGACGAGAACCCTGCCTCACCATGTGTGGGGAAGGACACTCACCCAGCAAGTAGCTCTTTCCATCTGGGAATCTCTGGGGCAGGAAGTACGAGAGGAGGTTCTCAAAATAGCAGGGCAGCCTCACACTGGTCATGGGAACACTGATGTCTTGGAAATATTCCTCTACTTCCCCCTTGCCATCAAAGTGGCCTGCTGACAGCCTCCCATCAGTCAGCTTCCTTATGTTCTCCAGGCCACTGTAGAACACATAGTGGAGGCCCAGGCGCTTGGCCAGATCTGCCAGAAGCTTGCCCTGGTGGACAGGAGAGACCACAGGCTAAGAGGAAGGATGTGTGTCCCTGATCACAATGCCCACTGATGCTCTAATCCCATAGTTGCTACATCTGCAAGGCTAAGAGTCAGCCCACTGACTCCCAAGGAAGCCTCTTCTTCTCTAACAATGCTCACATATGGCACTGCACCCATGAACCCAGAACTGTAAGCCTTCTACCACCCAAGCTCTAGAGTCACCCTTCAGATCATTTGAGTTGTTCTCCACTATTGCCCACCATGTGCACTAAGAGGAAGTGAGCGTGTCTGCAGCCTGGGGAGGGCTGCATGGAGGACCAACTGACATCCGTGTCCCACTCCAGTGCCCTGATAACATCCTGTCCACAAAGTTCAGCCAACTTCCTTGGAGAGCCCCAAGGTCCACCATGAGAATGCTTGGTGGTAAAGCAACAGGCTGCTTAGGTTCCAATGTGGGCTGTGCAATGAATCCACTGGCGTGTGATCCTGAATGAATGATTTAATCAATCCAACCCAACTGGTTACCCACCAATAACAACGGCCCCTGCTGTCAAGTTTGTGTAGGGGAAAAAAGGGCAGCCTCCAGAAAGATCTGCCAGGCAGGTCTTCAGCCCTGGAAACCTGGGAATGTGACTTTATCTGGAGAAAGGGTCTTTTCAGATGTCATTAACATTCTTGAGGTTGAGATCATCCTCAATTAACCAATTGAGCCCTAAATCCAATGACAGGTGACAGTGTAAGAGTCAGAAAAGGCTAGCAGAGTGGCTCAAGTGGTGGAGCACTTGCCTAGCAAGCATGAAGCCTTGAGTTCAAACCCCAGTGCCACCAAAAAGAGAGTCAGAAAAGAAGCTGGAAGTGGTGGCTCCTGCCTGTGATGCTAGCTACTTGGGAGGCTGAGATCAGGAGGATCATGGTTTGAGACCAGCCCAAATAGTTTGAGAGACACCATATCCAAAATAACCAGAGCAAAATGAACTGGAGGTGTGGCTCAAGCCACAGAGCACCTGCTTTGTAAGCGTGAAGCCCTGAGTTAAAACCCCAGTACCACCAAAAAAAAAAAAAAAAAATCTGCTTCAAACAGAGATTTAACATTCTGTGCTACAGTCTAGATGTGCTTTGTCCCCCAAGAGTTCATATGCTGGACGGTATGTCCTCCATCAAGGTTCTGGAAGCAGCACGAAGACAGTAAAGGCCTGCAGTGCCCCACCCCCCCTTTCTAACAAGGAAGAGCAGCTTCCCTGGATGAGCAGGGACCTGAGCACGACATCGCCCACACACTGTTGTAAACCCCCTACCCTCCCACCTGCCTTCACCTGCTTGACCTCCTGTTCCTGGCTGAGGTTCTCCCAGTAGTTGGTCATGACGAAAGTGGCATAAGCCCCGGTCAGGGCCAGTTCCATGCTGGCCTCATCGTTCTGGTCTCCCTGCACTACTTCTGCACCTTGCAGCTTCAGCTCCTTCGCTGCCCTCTTCCCAGGGTCCCGGGTCACCACTCGAACCCTGAACATCTCATCTTCCAGAAGTGTGCGGGCCACCGAACCCCCTTGGGCACCTGTGAAGACTTGCGGGGTCAAAACTGCCAGAGCCCTAGTGAAGGCAGAGCCCACCTCTACCTTTTGAACCACAGCAAGAAATGCTCACAGCTGGGCACTGGTGGCCACACCTGCTACTCAGGTGGCAAAGATCAGGAGGATCACGTTTCTCGAAGCCAGCCTGGCAGATAATTTTGAGACCCTATCTCCAGAAAAAAACATCACCAAAAAGAGCTGGTGGAGTGGCTCAAGACATAGGCCCTGAGTTCAATCCCCAGAACTGAGGGGAAAAAAAAGTCATTCCTCATGGCTCAGTTGACTAGCCTAGCATGTACCAAGCTGTCAGTTTGATCCCCTCCACCAAAACAAAAGAAAAAAAGAAATACATTTATTACATATTACACACACACAAAAGGAAAAAACAGGAGTGGCAAAATAATATACTGCCATTTGAAAAAATGCTACCTATTTACACATATCTTCCTGGGTACCCAGGAAAGTTGGTAACTGGTGGAAGAGGGGCCTGGGAAAACTTAATTTGGGCATTCTGTACAAGTTGGTGGTGGTGGTTGTCTGGGGTCTGAACTCAGGGACTTGCACCGGCAATGCAAGTGCTCAGCCACTTGAGTCACGTCTTCAAGCCCTTTTTGCTTTTAGGTTATTTTTTTAGACAGGGTTTTTGCCCAAGTTGGCCTGGACAGCAATCCACCTACGGCCTCCCGCGTAGCTGAGACCAGTGGCTCGAGCCACCGCACTCCGTTTATTTGTTGAGCTCGGGTCTCGAAAACTTTTGCCATGTTTGGCCGCGATCCTCCTGATCTCCACCTTCCTAGTAGCTGGCATTACAGACATGAGCCACGGCAGTCAGCCCCTACAAGTAATTTTTTCTTTAATTAAAAAGCAATCTAGAGACTCTCCCTGCAGACCCAAGGTGGGCGGCCTCCGGCTCTGCAGGCCCAGCCCCACCTTGCTCACCTGTGGCTCCAAAAACCACTACCGGTTTCTTGTCCGCCATTAGGGCCCTGGGCCTGGAGTCGCGGGAACGCAGAGACTAGATGGGCAAGGGTGTCAGTCTGGAGAGATCACGGACCCCCCATGCGCCCCAAGCCGCCTCCAAACTCCTCGGCCCTCCCACTCCTCGGTCCGGGTCGTATTGGCAGACTGCACCCTGTGGCTGCTGCCTCGGTGGGAAACGCTCGGGAAAATGGGGACCCTAAAGCCTGCAGCAGAATCCACTGCAGAGGGGAGGGTGCAGCCCTGCGTGAGCCGCCGCCCCCTCCGCAGCTCGGGTCCACCCTGGCAGAGCCGTCCCCACTGTGCACTGGGCCCGAGAACCCGGTGTCCGGCTCTCGGACGCCTGCGGTCCCACCTCTGCCCTCGACCCTGCACGCCGCAGATCCGCGTCCCGCCCCCCCGCCCTCCGGCACAGATGGTTTGTCCCGGCCGGGCGGGCGCTACCACATCTGCGCGCCCTCTTCTGCGTGCGAACGCGGCGGAGTGTGGGAGCCCAACCGGATGCTCGCAAGATGGGGACAAATTAAAAAAAAAGGTTGTCTTGCATGAACTGTGCATTTTGTTGGCTGTCACCTAGTGATAGTTAAATCTATGTTGATGTCTCTTGCCCTGTGAAGCCCTGAATGCTCGGTATGCCCGACTCATTTTTCTTTTTTGGTGGCACTGGAGTTTGAACCCAGGGTCTCCTGCTTGCTAGGCAGGCGTTCTACCGCTTTAGCCAGGCTCCATCCCACTCCTCTAACTCACTTCTGAAGTTGCCGCTGCATGCATGCTTTGCAATGTTGTTTTTTAACCCAAAAGTGAGGTTTCTTGTCCGGGTACAGTTGACTCATGCCTGTAATCTTAGCTACTTAGGAGACAGATCAGAAAGATGGCTGTTCAAAGCCAGCCCTAGGCAAATAGTTTATGAGACCCTATCTCGAAAATACCCAACACGGGAGAGGAATGGCCCAAACAATGTATGCACATGTGAATAAATGAATAAAAAATAAAATAAAAAATACCCAACACAAAACAGGGCTGGTGGGGTGACTCAAGCTGTAGAGTGCCTGCCTAGCAAGCATGAAGCCCTGAGTTCAAACACCAGTACCAAAAGAAAAAAAAAAAAGGTTTCTTTAGCTAAAATTCTGAAAAGACTTGTCTTTTAGATTCCTTTGAAAATTTATTGCTGAGTGGGTAAGAGCATTTTTTTTTTTTTTTTAATCATTCATTCATCTCAAAGTATGTATTGATCCCTCTCCCCAGTGTCAGCCTCTCCAGAGCACACTCCTTGTCCAGGGTCATTTCTGATTCCTAGCACCAGAAATAGTACCTTGAACGAGGTAGGCAAGTCAACTGTTGACTGACTTCTAAGCAGTGGAAGTAAAACCGTAAGAGTTCCTTAAACCTGCTTTTGATTTGGGCCCACAAACTAAAAACAGGAGAAAATCCTGGCATCTCCATCTCCATCTTTTGGATTAAGTTGGTCTATCCTGTGGTCACCTGGGAATCAAGGAAAGGCAGGACTGATCGATAACTTCATGACAAGGGACTGAAACTACCCCTAAGGAACTGCAGAACTTGCAAGGACAGACCACCCCTCCAAACGAGGATAGTTCTCCATGATGATGAGGTTGCACTGGAGCAGGAGTAATTCTATCTTGGGAATGGGATTGCTCCCCTCAAGTGATGACAGCAGTAACATCTTCTCTGGACCCCTCAGAGGACCAAAACTGAGATAATGTGCAACCAGGCCACACCTGTGACTGGGACTGAGTTTTACAAAAATTTTGTCCCTTGCCTTACGTCTGTACCCCAGAGATGGCCAAAGACAGACCAAGTGCTTACTTTGCCTCTTCTCACATGTCTGGGGCTGTGTAATAAATGCCCTTTCTCTGCCCTGCACCATTACCCTTTATTTGCCATATAAGAGCAAGTGACTGGACCTGATTGGAAATCTGAGAGTTTGGGATCCCAAACTCCAGTTTCAAAACTGTTGCTGTTTTCCTTACAATATACCATTTGAGATAACCCACGAGATTCTGTGTGTTGGGCTTTTTTTGTTCTTGTTGTTTGTGTGGTGCTGGGGATGGAACCCAGAGCCTTGCACATGCTAGGCAAGTGCTCTACCACTGAACTATACCTTCAGATCTTAGTTTTTGAGACCTGATTTTGCTATGTATTTCATGCTAGTCTCGAACTCCCTATGTACCCCAGTATGCCCTCCTATTTGAACTTGCACTCCTCAGCCTCTACCTCCTGAGTGCTAGGATTGTAAGTGTACATTACTACACCCTACTGGTTGTGTATTTTATGTAAAATGCTGATCCTTACTTATAAAGTGCATGTTTATTATTTTATTAAATACATGTTTATGCTTACTTGTGTTTATTAGGAAAAACCCTGCTCACAAAGAAAGCTCAGGAGGAAAGTCCCACATCCAAGAGCAAGGTTTAATGGCAGGCTCGAACTGTCAGGCTGGCCGGGGAAAGATGACGCAGCACGGATTCTGGGCCAGGCGTGGCTTTTATAGAAGGGGGCGGTTAAGGAAATTAGCGCATGCGTGGAGTCTCTGGTAGGGGTGGGGCTGTCTTGAGAGTGGGAATTTCTGTTAAGGGCCGGGCTGTCCTTGGGAGTTTCTCAAGTGAGGTCTGAGAATAAAATGACTGCTGATTTACAAATGGCGACATTATTGTTCTATCGTTCCCCCATTTTGTTCTTTAATAATTATGAGGGTCGGGGCTGAGGATTGGGAATTGGGGCAAAGCGTTGGTCTCTCAGCTGCTTCCTGCTGGCAAGGGGGCATTGTATGGGACAAGATCCTTAGGCTCCTGTGTCCTGGTGGGGGCCCTCCTAGCAGTCCTCTGGACAGTTTTGGAGAGGTTGATATCCCTGGAGGTACAACTGGTTATGATACAAGGGAGGAAGTTTAAGAATAGGAGAGCAAAAAACAGGCATCAGGATGGGCATTGGCCAGGAGAACAACTGTGAAATGTTGTTCCCTAGAGGATTCCAGGAGTCCGTTCTGGTCCACTGAAGTCCCAATGGAGAGGGTAGAAGATCCTTTAGAAGAACAAGATCCCCTGGTTTAACAGAAATTAATATAGGATGGGGCAGGATCTGGTCTGCATGCTCTCTGAGAAGTTCCCTGAGAAGGTTAAGGTAAGGTAGTAGTCAGCCAGAGGAGCAGGGTCTGTTGGAGGCAAGTTTATTAGAAGGAGCATAAAAGGTGTCTGCTAAAGGACTGCATATCTAGGGATACAGATTCTGCAAAATCCTGTAACTCCCAAGAAAGCGCTAAGCTGCTTTATGGTATGGGGGAGAGGGAAACGGAAGATTGGGTTGATGCCCTCATGACTAAGGGAGTGAGTCTGCTCTTTAAGGCCACACCTAGGTAGGTGACCTGTGGGAGGCAGGGGCTGTCAGAATTTAGGCTAAGTGTAACACTCTTGGATAAAAGAGAGCTCTAGCTCATTTATATATAATGTTTGTACCATATTTAGGGAAAGTATAGACACAACACTGTTACAAGGTGGTCATTTAAGACACATAAGCAAATATGTGAATGAACTCTGATTTAGCAGTACTTAAAGTACTTAAAGCTTGACACGATCAGCAGAAAACACAATTTCTTTGATAAAATCTTTCTCTGTAACGGTTTTTTGTAGATGTTACTCAGAGCAGAACAATATTAAGATAACCTTGTTATTTTATAGACATGAGAATTTGATTTTAGTTTGAATGACCCTAAAACTCTTTTAGGCAACTCTTAGATTATAGTCAACTTTAATTTTATCACACACCAAAGCTTTTATTATACACTTTTAAAACTTACTCAGACCTTTATATAACATACTAAACCCTTTGATGGCCTGTCTTTATCCCTCTTATTTGAAACAATCTTTAGGACAGACCCTTCTTTACAAAATCCTTTCTCATCCAAAAACATTCCTTTTTCCTTTAACTTCTCAAAAAATACATTCACTACCTATCTATATCCTTTCCAGTTGTTTACTTTGCAACTTGTATTTTAAAATTAACTTTTATCAGAATTTTAGATTTATTATATGGGCTGAAGCAACTAATTGGTAGCCCTTGTTGTTTTAAGGAATTTATGATAGGCATAAGGCTTCATCTCCCTCAGGCCTCACCTCACCTCAGGGTGTGGAAATTGTGAGGGATTTTTGGGTTTTATTTGAATAGGGAGGGCCATCTTGGCTTGCCCTATGCTCATCTCATCAGTCCACACTGTGGGATCTACTTGTTCCTGAAGGAGGAGGCAGCAGAAATAGCTGCCTGTGGGGAGGAGAATGTGGGTTTTTAATTGAGATAGTAAATCCTATCCCAGCAGGGACACTGGAGTTTTAGGTACTATGAGGAACATGACAGAAGAGGAGGTCTCCCCAAGAGCAGGACAGAGGCTGAGTAAACTAGCGCTCTAGGGGCTGGCCAGATTTGCCCCAAACGATAACTGTTGTCATTGGACTGGGGACCAGGAGAGAAAGGTAAAACAGAGAAATGAGCTCCTCTGTGTATCTGGAAAATGATCCTTTGTTTTTCTGTCATTATGGCTACCCCAAGGCTCCTCAACATTGATGCCAAGAAGTGGAGCATGGACAGGGGGCCAGGACCCATCAATCCATAGGAGGTGGCACCTTGCCTTCTATCTGGAGGTGTGGGCACTTAGACCTCCAGTGGTTACCCTTGCAGAGAGGGCAGGGTCCCAGTTGGGGGTGGGGCTGTCTCCCATGCTGTCCCCCCTTTTGAGCATCCTCTGCAGAAGTGCCCCTCCTGTCCACCATGGTAGCAAGTTCAGGATCCAGGCCCCAGTCGGGTGGGGCCCTCTCTGAGAGCAGCAGTGAGGCCATCTTTTTCTCTCCCATTAGTAAGGTCCAGGACATACAGACATAACTATAAATACAGACATGGCTAGCTATATTACTTGGTTTGATGACTTTTCTCCTTCAGCCATAGACTGAGTTTTCTACAAATATCAGGGGCTGTTAGAAATTTGTCTTTGAGGAGAACCTCTCTCACCTGTGACTCTGGGTCCACCGTGGTATGCTTTCTGATAGCGCCTTAAGATGCCACAGAAAGGTAAGGGGATTTTCTTCAGAGCATTATTGTAAAGCAAAGTTGTTATTTTACATTGACACCTGATACTCTGGAGAGCAGGTCTCTGAATCTGGGCCTCAGTTTCCTCACTTGAAGAATGAGGGATCCAGTCTAGCTTAAACTACTTTCTTCAACTATGAGATGGCTAAAGTGAAATTAACAAACAGGACTCCCCCAACCTAGCATGAGGCATACCCTAATAAACCCCAGACTTCCTCTCAGCCCACAGGGAGGAAGCATGGGCTCCTCCAGAGTTGGAATCGCCTTG